GAATCAGGCTAATCCTGGGAATCAGGCTGATCAGGCGAATCAGGGAAATCAGGGATTCTGTAGATCATTTGGCACAGCACTTATTATGTCATCATTCCATAGGTCATCAATGATCGGCGCAGTAAGGTTGATTTCAGACGTTGACAACATACATTATTCTCCCTCAGTTTCACTAAGACAAAGACGTCTGAAAAACTAAAGCAACTTTCACCTACGCCATTCATTACCAACGAAAAGTTCTGGGATGCGATATTTTGAAGGTAGAAGTCTCTCACAAATTGCTTGTAGGACAGGCTCATTCATTGAGGATAATAACATGCGTGATCTTGTTCGTAGGAAAGTTTTGATGACTTTAATAAAGGGCATGACATTCTAGTAATAAGACTTTCATGTGCTGAAGCAATATAGATGCCATCATTGATAACATTTCTGAACACCACCTTATCCTTTTTTCTAGGATTTGGCTCTATTTCTTTCATTGTTCTAATGGATGGTTATTGAGCACGAGTTAATAACATAAATGCAAAAAGGTAATGTCCTTTTGTTCAAAATTTTTAGTCCAAGTTATATTGAAAATAGATTCTAATTTTTCAGCTGATTGATAAATCTCACTTTCAATATAATTATAAATATAATAATTATAAAATATTAAATGAATATATTTCTCGAATTCTTTTGTATTTGTGTATTGATTATTTTTTAACTTTAAATTTATAGTAAATAAATCAATCGGATACTTTACTGAAACCTCCTTTTTAACATATTTATAAAATATATAGCACAAGAGTTATTTTCAAGTTCACAAAGAACGTCATAACAGAAATTGATAAGTTCAAAATTTGAAGATACAACAGCAGGCACTAGGTTCTCTTTTTCGTGTTCCTTGATAACTCCCTGCCAGTATTTTGTAATTTTTTCGCATAACGTAAATGTTCTGTCTTTACCTGTTATGAGAAAGAAGCTTATTAGCAATGTGATAGTGCACTAACTTTTTTATTTAGTTTTAAGGGAAGATACATAGCTAGTTCCTCCTCCAGAACTAACAGACCTTTACCAACAACAAATTTAGGGTGCCTGAATTGAGAGCTTAGAGTGGATACTAAGGTTGTTAACCTAGTAATTCTCCTGAATCAAACCCTCTAATATGAAAGTAAACTAGGAGTTACCTTTCCTTTGCAAAATAAAAAAAAAATAACATCTTTTCCTTCAGAGCTACAAAGGTTTTTTGATCCAAAAGTTCCTTAGAGACTTTCAGACAGCCCAGTACCTGTCAAGTTTACGACAGTCATTCGAAAAGGATAAAGAGATAATGACATCATAATTTAGGTTCGATAAGACTATTTTTCCTATTACTCAAAGTATGAGACAAGGACTAGAAATCAAATGGTAGGTTAGAATTAAATATTATAATCGAAATACTATTTACAGGACTTACCATTTGGTCAAAATAGCTCTCAGATATGCTCATGTTTAGTTTTCAAGAATTTTTTTCACAAGAATAATAAATGTTTCAGATAGTTCAATGCATATGAAAGAGTCTTAAATATCAAAAATCACTTGACTCATATTGACACTGATACAAAAAATTAAGCTATATGTTTAGCATCTATACTTCCATATTATTGATAGTATACGCGTCTAATTATTATCATCTAATAAATCATGTAACTTTAAAAATTTTATAAAAATCAAATAATAAAGTAATAGAAGATAAAGTTTTTATCATTTTATTTTACAAGATAAATGTTGAATTTATTTTCAGTTTAATGTTCAGAAATGGTGTATATCACATTTTCATATGAAATGGATGTATTTCTTTTTTTTTCCATCCCATCAAAGAAAAATAAATTCAAAGAACAAGAACGGAAAGTTTGTAAAAAAACCACAGGTTGTTGATATTAGTAAAGCAGATTTTTAAATAAGAGAGAAAACCCTGATTTGTTGAGCGACGAGATTGCCTCTTTGATTGAGAAGATGTCACTTAGTAACTAATATTTGGGTAAAATGCCTCTCCAGTAAATTATTGCTTTTTTAAGAAATCAGAATTTAACATTTTATCATTTTCATTGTTTACAGTTTATTTTTAGAACAAAATGCAATATGATGAACAATTTATATGTAATGTGATACAAATTTTTATATTTTATGTCTCCTTAAACATTAAAAATGCATATTATTCCAATTTTAGATTGTTGATCTTTTTTGAAAAAAAAAGTTTTATATGAATATTTCGATAACATATTATACGTCTATGTTCAAAAAATTAGATTATTATATAGTTAAGTATATTCAGCTTATATAAAATCATTAGAGATCCTAATGAATCGAGTTTTAAAGATAACTCGACTCAACTCAAAAAATTTGAGTCAAGTCGAGTTGAGTCAAAAAATTTTAAAACTCTAACTCGACTCAACTCAAGTTATACTTAAATTTGACTCGACTTAACTCGAGTCAAATAAAAACCCCAAAATATATTTGCTGATTATATAAATAATAAAATAATAAAATAATATTGATGTTTCGGAAGCTATTATCTAATGATTTACTGATCAGAATTTCATGAAATCTGCACCATCGTGTTCGCCGAGATGCGCTCATCGATATGATATGTGTTGCATTTCTAATGGATCACTGAATGCAGAGATATTCAAGAAAATGTGTTGAAAAATTAATTTTTGGCTTTGAAGGCCATTATTGCGAGATCTAACGATCAGAATTTCGTGAAAACTGCACTATCGTGTTCGCTGAGATACGCTCATCAAAATGATATGTGTTGCATTTCTAACGGATCACTGGACGCTGAGATATTCAAGTAAACATGTTAAAAATATTCAATTAAAGCTTCATAACCGGAATATTTTCGAATTACGGGATTGTACCAAATTGAGTTACACAAGATTCTAAATATAGACATAAGGTTACACAACTCCCAAAAAGAAAATTTTGGCTATCTAAAAATTGGAAAATCACCAAAAATGAGTTACATAAAATTCCAAAAATGGTAATTCATATAACATCAATTCACGTGAATCAACTCAAGTCAACTCGAATTGAAATGAGTCAATTCAATTTATTGACTCGACTCGACTAATGACTCAACTCGAGTCAAATGAGTTGGAAAATTTTTGACTCGACTCGACTCAAACTCGAGTCAACTCATTTGATTCGTGAGTCAACTCGACTCATTAGGAGCTCTAAAAATCATAAAAAAAATATTTTTGACAAAAGGCTCAGAAGGGCATTTTGCTAGTCTATGACCCATTTACTGTAAAGTGTGCTCTATATTACCCCCCTGCAGTGATATTATGAGACATAGTTAGGACAATGATGGGATACTGATTGGACATTGATGGGACAGATAGGACATTTGGGACATATATGGGATATAGTTAGGACATATAGGTAGTATTCTATTAAAATTGAGATACAAGATATAGTAAATCATATGATCTGTACCTCAATTTTAATAACATCACCAATATAGTTAGGATATATAGCTGGGACAGCAAATGTTTGGGACATAGAAAATGTAAATCACTGCCCTCTTGTGTATTAAAGGTATGCTTCAGTGAAATCTGTTCAATCTGTCATTTGATCTGATCAAAAATGGATCATTTAAATTATGAATGAACAGATCGCGGATAATCCAGATGTAATTCTCAGATAACATCAGATTGATCAGACGTTATGCGGATAACTGGATTGATCAGATAATCCAGTTATTTTATTTTATTTTATTTTTTTTTAAAAAAAAACCCCCCCTTTTTGTCTTTAGGATCAGACATGAACATGGACTTGAACTTCAGAATTTAGGATTAAAAGGTATGTTAGAATAGAGGGTAAATTTTTGGAATATTACTAACATTCCTTTCTTTCTTTTCTTTAGGGAACGCCTTCCTGGATTTGAATTTCAGCTTGGGCTATGAAGGTAAGGTGGTGTGAAGGATTGTTATTGTTTCTTTATCTTTGAAATGCTATTAACATTCTTTTTGCTTCTTTCTTTAAGAGACGCTACCTGGACCTAAATTTCGACTTGGGTCATAAAGTTAAATTGTGGTGGGTTTTTTGTTTTTTTTTTTTGTTTTTGGAATGTCATTACCAGTTCTTTTGCTTATTTTCTTTAGAGAACGCCTTTCTGGACCTGGATTTCAACTTGGGTTATGAAAGATAAGTTGGAAGTGTGTTTTTTTTCATTTTTCATTTATTTTTCTTTAAAAATCATTTATATTACTTTTCTTTTTTTCTTAGGGATACTTTTCTGGATCTTGATTTTAGAATTTTGGGAAGGAAAATTTTTATTTATTTATTTTCTATTTAGAACTTTTGCTTCTTTTTTAAAAAATAGAATTCTTTAAAATTATGAGTTTAGGTTTACAATAAGTTTATAATATTTTAATAAAATAGCAATTTATTTATATATAATAAATTATACAAATGATTGATTTAAAATATAAATAATTATTCATAAATACTTCTAACTTTAATTGCATTTCTTTTTAAAAACATTATACGTCAAAAAAGTTCTGAATTCATTCTAGATCTTTTTGCTGAAAGTAAATTTTCTGCATCAAAAAATAACCTTTTTGATAATGTTGATGTTGCAGAAATAGCTAAATGAATTCTTGCTATTTTAGTAAGAATTGGATACTTATTTTTATTATTTAACCACCAATTAAATGGACATTGATTAAAAGAAATCTTATTTTCTTTTAAATATTCTTCAACTTCATCAGATACTTTTGGTTGATTTTGTTCAAATATTGAAAAAAGCTTAGGTTTATAAATTGGATTTAAGATTATTAATGATTCAGATGGAGTTGGAGATAAAGATCGAGATTCATTAGGAATTGGTAAATAATTTTCCTTATATTCTTCATATTTTTTATGTAAAATTTCTTCTTCTTCTGTTTTATTATTTATAGACTTAATTCTGGGATCAAGTATTGTTGATATTAAGTAATCTTTAGATAAAACTTTCCAATAAAAACACATAGCATTATAAAGATCTTTTCTTACTTTATCTAAAAGATCTTTAGTTTCTAATAGTTTATCTAAATTAAATTTGTTATTTTTTATTTGATTATTATTATTTTCAATAACCTTATTTTCTAATGTTTCTAATTCTTCTATCATAATAAATAAATCAGCAGCATTTTCAATTTCTTGATATATTTCTGGTATATTAAAAGCTGTTACAGATAATGTAGGTGATGTAGATGATATCAATGATATAGATAATATAGATGAAATAGGTGATGTAGATATAGATGAATTAGGTAAATTAGATAATGATAAAAGTAATAAATGTTTAATTTGTTCAATTATTGGATTCATAATACTATGTATAATATATTTTTCTCCACCAA